CCCAAGACATATCTGAAAACTCTAGCTGTTCTTTCATGGGTAATAGGAGAGAGAAATATATCTCTGATCTGGGGATACTTAGCTCAAATCTGGGTGCAGTAAAGGAATTTCTAGAAACAGAGGTACTGTTAAATCCAAAAAAGCATCTCAAACAACACCTTATCATCAGAAAGAAATGATTAGATTTAATTTGCTCCTGAGAAAAAGGCTAGATAGATTTTAATATGTTAAGGGATAAATTAAAATAAAACTAAAACAAACATTTATTTTTGAAGGTAGAGAAAAAGGAAGAAACACCCCAAAAAATCCAATAATTACATGTCTCAGTCACTAAAATACACAGTAACCATAGTTATTAAAGAGGTCTGAGGACAAACACAGCTTCAGTACCTACACTCTTCTTAGTTAGAAACAGATAGTTTTTATTTAAACAATGTGAGTCTTTTATTTTCTTTGGCCAATCTTTGTTAGATGCTGGTTTTCAGTTTCAGCTTGCACTGCTGATTTAAGCAAGCAAAGTTTTATCCTAAATATGGTACATGATATTTTCTGGCAAGTCTTAAATCCTTGAATTCATCTTATCTCTATGGTGACAAGCCTACATTTGGAATAAAGTATCACAGCTTTTCAGAGTAGACGCTATTTCAGATAAAAGCTGATGCCTCTGATTTATGGCAGTTCTCAGCTTCTATGGTTTGAAAAAGAGGAATGCCTGATTATTGGTTACCAACTGCTTTTCCAGGAATAAGTTTTTTGATCAAAAAAACCCAACTGTAACTCTTAGATCTGACTCAAAGCACTGCTAAATTACATAAAAAGACAGGTCACTGCTAGAGCCAAATGGACACACACATGCTGTCTGTGTTTGAAGTAAACTCCTTGTTGAGAGAAAGAAGAGGAAGGAAACAACACAGACTAGTCTATAAAGAAGAAGATTTTTTACATATAATAACTTTTACAAATATAATTTGTGTCTGCCTTGTGTATGCTCACTCCCACATGACAACGGCCAAGAGCTGTTGGCCCATTTATCTTTCTATCAAAAAGAGGTGATGTTCAATTCCCACTAAAGAACACAGAAAACCCAACTGCTTAACAGAATGATGTTTCTTATTGAGAACATTGTTTCTTATTGACAATACAGCCCTGTTCTGGTGGCAAGACCATTCCATCCCTTCAGCAGCCAGGTATCAGCAGGCTTGCAATGCTTCCCTACTGTCAGCAAAGCATCACACTGAAATGTTGAAATATAGATTTTTGCATTCAGGTAACACTGAAACTGGCTGCAGGAAGTCTTTGAGCAGGTCTGAGGTAAGGTCTGGTGCTTTGTAGGCACCAGGATGACAGTAATAGTAAGAAGGGTCTTCCTAACATGTTCAGTAGATGACATGAACTTTCTAGTGGAACATACAGTTCTCTTCTTTTTTAGTGAATGTAACAATATTATTTTGCAGTAATATTTTGCCAGGTAATTCTTTCCAAAACCCACTAACAATTCTTTCATAAAGATGCTATAGGAGATTGTGATGATGACACAATATCTTTTAAAAATAATCTATGGGGGCAGATATTAACAGTTTTCCAAGCTTTTTCATTTCTGAACTCAGCTGTGCTGCTAGTTCAGTCATAAAAACCCAGTGGAAACTATGTACAACACGTTTGGTTTCAATTGTCTGTTGATTTCTCCCAATTTATATACCAGATATTTGCCAGAGAGAGATTTATTTTTTTTACTACCAGTTGATGCCTTACACTAACTCCTCACAGTTTGTGTCAAATTTTAACTTCTGTTGGTTTTAGCCTTGTTAAAAAGAGGAAGAAAAATGTTCCAAAATCAGGTCCCCTAGACCTCCTTGATCTCATCTGGCATTTTCATAGTAGTACCTTTCTAGGTCTCATGATCTCATTATTCATGAACAAAGATTTATAGCATCAACTTTTTTTGCAAATACGTCAAAGTGGAAACTAGCATTTCAGGCCCCTTAAAACATTACAAGAAATATGATGTTGGGAAAGAGCTGTCGGAGGAGAGGTAATAACAGCAGTCATGTAATCCCTGGTGGAAAACTGTTTCTTCAAGAAGCAATATCTTTTGTCTTTGTATGGAACTTGATGTTGAATGAGATACTTTAAAGGAATTCCAAAGTGGTACCTCAAAGAGAACTGACCAGACAGAAACATGTGATTTTGAAATGCTGCTGAGCTGGAAGGAAAGACAAGACCAGCACATCTGTGGGGTGCTATAGAGACCTTTGAGGGTCTGCCTGCACAGTATCTGCTATGTACTCTTGTTCTGTTACTTATTTCAGTCTAGCACAGCCAAGATCCATGGTAGGATGCATATAGCTATTGGGCAACACAAAACTAAACTTCCAACATAAAACTGCTGTCCTCAATCTTACTTTTTCTTTAAAGAAACCCAGAAAACAGTACTTTTCCAGTGAAATGGATTTAGAAAGAAACATGTAAAGAATTATTTTCATATTTTGTAGAAAGCCTGCAACCACAATGCAGAGTGACTATACTCACCTCAGATAACTCTCAGACCAAAAGGTGACACCCTGCTAAAATAAAGTTTATTTTGCTGGATACCTCCTCTGCATCACTCTGCTTTTACTCTCTGCCCTGTGTTTATTTTCTACTTATCTCTAATCTGATCTAATTTCTAACTTGCTGTTATTCAAATTACTATTTTGAATACTTTTTGGCCTTCTTCCTCATGCACAGCCATTGGTGTCATATACAGAGGGATTCTCATGTTTGCACTCAAAGCCACTTCTTGGGCTGCCACTGCATTTTTAAGCCATGACAATCTTCTACAAACACTGTGAGAATCATTCTTCATACAAATACTTTATCAAACCAGAGTTTCTAATGTTGTCTTAGCTTTCCACAGCTATCATGGGATACATAAGTCACTCAGAAAACAGGTTTGTAGCAAGATTCACAGTGCCTCCTCTTGTCTTTTATTTATCGATCTTTGGGCCTCTGAGCTCATCGTTATATACTAACCAATTTCAATCCTCACATTTATATTTACAAATCACCAAGCCTACAGAGAGCAAAAAAAGCTGCCATTAATAAATACAGTTTTCAGGCAGGGAAAGAAGTCATCAAAGATATCCAATGGTTATACCCCTCCTTAAAGGCCCAGTGAGGTCAGTAAAAACCTTTCCTTTTGATCCACTGAGAACTGAACAAAACCAGCACCCATGGAGGAATATTCAAATGGGATTTAAAAACCTACCTTTAAAACATGTTAATTCCCCATCTCTTTGTGGGCCATGAACTTGCATAGTTCTTCTGCTCCTTCTTCAGCCCCACTAAGCCTATCCCATTCCCTTTCAGACACTGAACTGAGCTCTGTGCCAATGTTTTCTAAATTGTCTCCTGTTTTTCCTGTGCACAGAAGTTTCCACATGATACAGTTTTGCTTAGTTCCTTGCATGACTGGGGATGGAACGAATAAGGAATTCTGTGAGCTTTTTTCTATTAAACCCTAATCCACAAAGATATATCTATAATCTTTATATTATCAGCCCTCTTCTTTTGATATGAAGTTAATGATGACAGGCATTCTTTTTCTGCAGGTCAAATGGCCTAGGTAATGCTTAAAATGATCCACTAAAAAAGAAAGTGCTGACAAAGATCATTGTTACAGGTGAATCATAGAAATAAGCAAATTTAATCCAGTCACTGCTGTATGTAATTACTACAGCAAGGATCTCAGACGCCATGCAGGAGTGCTGTGGTGCTGTTTGGACAGCCATTGTAATGAAGGTGGGAAATGAAATCAGACTAATCTGTTTTACATCAGAAAGGCATATTAGATTATAGGAAACATCAAGATAATCCCTATACTGTATGTAATGTCAGCCTTGACACTAGCTGCACAACAAGGGATACTTCAGCCTTTTAAACTCAAATTGTTCCAATGTGCAGAGGGGATGGACCTCCTGCCTGGGAGGGAATACAGGGCAAAGCTGGACAGATAAACTTAATGCCCCTCTCTCCCTTCTTATCTCAGTAAAAAAAGGCCTCAGAGAGTTGACCAGTCTAAATTTACTTGATGTAGATAAGAGATGTAGAGCTCAATATAGAGAAGGCAATCTGGTGGGATGATGTGAGATGGGTGTCCAGTGTTCCAGATGGGAGAGGCATGCACTCAGGATGAAGAGCAGGATTTGGTTGTGCACATGTTTAGTCAGAGAAATTTGAGTTGAAAGAGACTTTTTAGACCACAAAATGCAGAAAAAGGGATTATGGCACTGTTTGTTTTGTTCCTCATACCACTGCCTCCCTTGAATGAGCCAGTGGTAGTGTACTACTCAGCAGGGTGTGGTGCCAGCAGCCTAACTCACCATGCAAACTTGGTCTCACAAGTCACTGTTTTCTCCCTGGGGTAGATAGACAATATACAGAGAAGAAGTGAAGAGCTCTGCACTAAAAAATAACATAATCACCAACTCCAAGAGATGCACCTATATATATACTCCTACAGTTATAGTCCTATAGTCCTATAGTGGGATTCATAGAAAGCACAGCACTATGATGCTTACCTCTCTTGCCTGTGAGGAACAAAGACCTGAAAAGCAAGCCCACTGCTTGTGTTTGACCAGATCGAACCAAATCACAGGGAAGTGCCCATCTTTGCTAGTGATTCCTGACTTTGGCTCTTTGATTTACAAACCAAAGCTGTTTTTGTCTTCCAAAAGATAGGAAAAAATCCTGCTTGCTTTTTAACCTTGAGCCTGGCAGATATTTAATCTCTGTTCATGTAGGAGAGTTACAGTTCCAGCATCTGCCTGGGGACATTATTTTGCATCCACCCTCATGATGTAACAACTGAATGTTGTTCCTCTTCTCTGTCTTATTTTACTTAACTATTTCAACAGTGGCTGGGCACAGGAGGAAGCTCCCTATCTCCCCATGATGTTATAGCTCAAATGGATGAGGAGAAGAGGTATTTTCAATTCCCCACCCAAATCAGTTCCTCAGAAAACACCAGAACTACATTAGACAGGAAGAGAGGTTGCCTTTAATCCACTAAACCTTGAACTTCTCTACAGAAAGTGTAACTTTCATGTCCCATGCTTGCATGTATCCACAAAGGCTGTTGTGATTGTTCCAGATCAAGTGCAGATCAGAGCCTTTGCCCGGGAGATGAGAGGTGCAGATCCAAATACCATCTGGAGGGATTTGGATGTGCCTTGCTAAGACCTGGTATCTCCAAGCTGTTGATGAACAAGGACATAAATCTGTTCCTCTAAAAAAAAAAAGCAGATAAACATTAGGGTAAGGAAAGCATGGCAAATTCTGTTTTAGAACAGCCACAAACTGCACATTTTAGGGTATTGTAAAGATAGATTAATTGTTTCCTTATATCTTCATGGCAAGATTGAATGCTTTCATAAACACTTATAAACATAATAAGCCACTGTACAAACATATTTGGAAATTGTATTTCCCTCTTCTGCCTAATTTTCCAGATTAACATTTTATGGTACCAGGCTTCTGAGAGGCTGAAAACATTGATGCTTTGTGGCCATGACAGCCATCAACTGTCTTCTCAAAGCTTATTGGTAAAATATTAACAACATCACATACCATGTGTATCAAAAGGAAATTCAATTTGACAAATCTACTTAAAAATAAATAAAGCTTCCCCTTTTACACATTGCCCACATAGACTAGAAACTCCTTCAGATTTTTGTGTAAGTATATATGAATTATTCAAGAAGACGAGCAAAGTGTGATGTTCTCTGGTCCTTCTCTCAGGAAGCTTTAAATATGAAAATTCCCTTGCATTCTCAGAGTCACTTGCTATCTGTTCCTTTTTTTTTTTTTCTTTTTTCCCTGCAAAGGAAAATGATTGCAATGTGTAGGCAGTTTCCAAAATGAACAAGTAATATGAAATGTATTTGTAGCCTAAAATATCACTATTGAGCAAAGGAGCTTTTTTCCATATGCCACTGCAAATAGCAATTAGTTCAAGTAGAAAAGATTAGACCAGGTGCAGGTTTTGAAGTGACTTTTGGTGGGAGGAGGGAAAGGTCTCTCTTTTGTCAATTGTCTGTGTTAATTCATCAGGCATCTGAAGAATTCAGGGATATTCAACCTCTTGTGCTTAGCCAACACAATATGACCTCGGTGGCATCCATGGACTGGACTGAGGTACAGGGCTTATTGATGGTTGTCAGTCTGCTGAAGTGAAAGAGCACATTAGCAAGAAGCACATGATATATTTGTCTTCCACAGCACAGCTATTTTGCAGGAGCTTTGTTGGAGAACTCAAAAAAGGCAGACTAAGCCCCTCCAGTGTGGGAACCCACAGGCAAGCCCAGCTCGAGGGCCCGAGACAGGCAGCTGGCAGATGAGATGGCTGCAGCCGTTCCCTCCAGCCTTGCAAAGCTAGAGGTGACCTTCAGAAAATGACAAAGAAAGGGGGCTAACACAACAATGTGTGTCCCTGAGATAAAAGATACTCTCAGAACTTCAAAAACCTCCTTAAAAGATTGGATTAACTTCTTCTAATCCTCTGAATCATGGGTAGATATGAGTTCAAAGGACTAATGTAATTTTATTATTACATTTAATCAAATGTTTAAGTTAAGAAATAGGAACTGAGCTAAGGGCAACCTCTCCTTATCAGTTTCCAAAGTCTGAAAGCAGGAATGAATTAATTAAGTAAATGTAACAAGCTTAGGGGTATAACACACAGCAGCAGCTGAGTCAGCTTGACCATCGGCCAGTTATTGGGGTGAGATGTGCAGCTCAAGTACTACCAGATGATTCAATTCACATATCTTGGCAGAAGCAGATAAGCCTAAAGGGATGCCTTGAGGGAAATAGTGTCATAATTTGGCAAGGCAGAGAGTAATTCACCACCTTAAACAAAATGTTGTCATCAAGGAAATTGTGCATTTAATTCATGCAGCAGAGTGGTCTGCCTTACCAGGCAAAAGCACATTTTGCAGGTTGGCTTTTTATATAAGGATAAATTAGTTTTTCCAAGTTCAGGCATATTTTATGCAACTGGCTTACATCAGGTCATCTATGCCAACCCTTCATTTTCAGGAGATTCACTCAAATATCAGCGTCAAATAGGATCACATTGGTCATGATGAGAGGGTTACAAGTATAGAGTGTGTATACTTGTCCTTCTCCTTAGCTTCCCACAGGCAAAAACACTTTCACAAGTGAAAAAATAAAGTAAAGTTCTTTTAAAGATGGAACATTAGTTTGTATTGTGAATCAGGAAACCATAATATATAATCAGCTCCACTATCATAATTTATGTCCAAATGACATATGACAAAAGACTCTCCTTCTATAAATTAGCTATGGATGAGATGTGACTAATTGCAATAGGTTTCATTTGAGCATAGTCAATTAAATCAGTGCAGTTTAACAAAGGAAATTCTGTTCTAACAGGGCAGGTTTCAGCACAAGCATTTTTCCTTAGATGACAGATAGTGCTCTTCAGAGAAGGACGCTTAAGTGCATATAAAAATTATCTTAAAAATCACTGAATATTTCCAATTCAGTGGCAACCTGAAGAAAGTTTGAAGAAAGGAAAAGTGCAATATAATTTGAATGAATCATTCCACAGCCTGGGGATTTTATTTGTTTACAAGAAAATTAAGGCCACAGAACATCTAGAGGAGAAAAGACAAGGAGTCTTGTTCTGAGCCTTGTTCTCATGCCTTTCAACTATCTAAATTTGGGAAAAGCACAGCAAAGTTGTGAACAGCAACAGCCTCAAACCATGCCAACCACCACCTAAATATCCATGAATAGAAGGCACTGGCATTATGCTGGCTGGATGAAGTCATGCTACCCTGGTCCAGCACGAGACCAAGAGCTAGGAATTTATGATATGAACAAAGGAGAATTTTCCCCTGCTTCAAGCCCACACCTTAAACACAGCTTTTGCATTCTTCTACAGTTCTTTTTTTCTACATACATTTGTATGAGTACACAGCCCATGAGTGTTAATGCTCCCTCTGATTTCATCCTTTCACATGTACATTTCCTGCAGAAAACCAGGCTGTTGGCTTCACAGCCCTCAGCCATTGCCATGGCAATGGACCGTGATGTCAGAGACACGGGATTAGGAGCTCCCTGTGCTGAGGGAGAACCCTGGCTGAGAAAGAGAAAACTCCCATCTCAACAGATTCAACAATAGAAACAGCAATTTCAAAAGCAGTTAGTGAAGAACACTGAGTAGTAAACTATGTAGAAATGACCAGAAATTTAGGGTCAAAAATTTGTTGACTGAAGAGAATCCCAAAAACAATTGGCACGGCAGTAAATAAGTAAAATCAATGGAGGAAACCTGGGGTTGTGTCAGCAGTAACAGTGACACTAAAATCAAGATAATTTTGCCATTTCACCAAGGAGAGCAAAATACAATAGCAGAAGATACAGCATCTTTCACTCAATTATACAATGAGTATTTTCAGTTTCACTGTCAAAAAGCTGAGAGCAGTTATAGAGAGATTATTCCCTTAGACTAAAAGTTCACAGTAAGAAAGACAATGTAGGAACTATATGTGTGAATGCCCTTTAAAATAATCAGATACCTCAGCTTGTAAGTGTGGGAACACTGCAAGCAGCAACAGGGGACTTGACATCCAAAGGCCACTCCCAGTGATTACTGCAGAAAAGGAACAGATGTCAAGAGCTGAGGCAGCTCCCAGCCTTTGGGGGCTGAGGCAGGACCCTCCCCAGCCCTGCAGCACAGCTTACCACAGTGCTGGCAACGAGCACTGCTGCTCTCAGCCAGCCCACAGACCTCCTTCTTGAGGTGGGTGTGCTGATGGCCTGGGGAAATCAGAAAATGAAATAAAAATTAAAATGGGGAAACAACTACAGAGAAGCAAAGACTGCAGAGGCCCGGAGCAAAAGTTGAAACTGGGTCATGCTTTATATGAGGGTGGTTTGCAACAAAATGAGCTGGTCCTTTCTCTCTCTCCTTGAAAAGAGGAAACTGGGAGCAGAATGTCCTGTTTCTCCTCTCCTGCCTGGGTTGCCTTGCTCCTTCTTGGATCTGCTATTGCAATGGCTTACCTGCTTGTGTGTCTACCTGCAAGATCAGGCTGCCTGTGAGTCAGGAGAGCTCCATTTGCTTCCTAGACAGGAAGCCTTGATGACTCATCTGTTGGACAGGGACAATGTGCTAAGATGAAGGACCTCAAGCAATGTATTTCAATGGAAAATTAAATAAACTGAAGCATGTACACACACCCATCATGATTTCAAAAATAACTTTAAAAAAACAGCACAAGAGTCAGTGCCTTTTCAGTGCTGTGCTGTGACTTAAGGCATGTCTGCACCCAGCAAAGAGTATTGAGGCAAAGAGCACTGAGACACCTATTTCCAGAGCTGAATGCTATATAATTACTAACTGGCCCTGCTTCAAAAAAGGGTGCAGCCTCACACAAAGCCATCTATATTGCAGCTGGGACAGGAGCCAATACCTTCATGTGTCCCTGCTCTATGGAGACAGACCAGAGTTTTAGAGGTTGACCAGGGCTCTGTGCCCTGCTTTGTTGGGGGGACCTACATGATGAAAGACTTCTGAAACCACTGTTAAAAATCTGTGCTTTTGGAATGAAAACTCTGTGTCGCTTAACTCAATTCCAAGTAGACCAGCCATATTATTTTTGCTAGGGACGTTGTAATGACTTCTAAGTGATTTGAATTGTTGTTAGAAATTTTGTGTGTGTTTTGCAACCCATAAAGCCTGGGCTGTAAAACAGAAGCTGTATTCTAGTGGACAACATTTTCCTCGGCATTTCTGCTGCTCCTTTCAATGCCAATGAACTGTGAAGAAGCCACAGTCCAGATTAACCATGAGCCCTCTGCATTGTTTTCTGCATTGTCTCTTGTGGTATTTTAAGCACCTGATGTATAGATGACAAATACCCATGTTGCTGGCATGCACCTATGTGCTGCTGCTAATTCTTTGAATTTTACTGCTGCTACTTTATATTCCCCACAAAGAGGGAAGAGCAGCCATAGAAAAGAATTTTGACATTAGCCTGTACTCTTCAATAGCCTGGCTCCTTCTGCAGATTTGCTGGGTTTTTACTTCTGCCATTCCCAGCACAGCACTTTGCAGAAATGCAGTCAATGAAAAGAACTGGCTGCACACCTAAACAAAAGCAACAGTGTGCGGTGTCAATGCAAAGTGTGCAATGAGGATTAACCCCCCAGACCAGTGGGGTGGGAAGGCGACTCTTCAAAAGAACTTCTGGATTAACTTTCAAGAATGTTGTTCCCTGAAATAGTAGGATGCCTCTAATGCCTTCTGCCTGTAGTAAATGCTGCCACATGGCACAAGTTATGTCAAAACTGTTCTTGAAGTTGTGGTTGCAGAAAAGGCATCTACTCATATTCACAGACCTTTTCAAGTGGTTTTGACCTAGTCACTAATGTTTTTACTGGAGTTCCTTGAATAACTTAGTCTTGCTTTGTAATAAATGTCCTCACTTACAAGTTACTGGAGAAAGGCTGTGCACCTGCAACTTGCCACAGAGAAGTGCACATGACAATCACATTGTGTCTTTGCAGCTGAAATGAGTGAATTGCAGAGATTCTAGCATGGTAAAATAAAAACAAAACAAAACAAAACAAAACAAAACAAAACAAAACAAAACAAACAAAAAAAAAACCAAAAAAAACCACCAAAAAACATTTAGCCAAAAAAGTAAAAAGTGAGGTAGAAGGAATTTTAATGGCATTGAAATACACATCAGTCAGATGGACAGGAAAACCAGTGCATTTTATCAGCAAGGATTTTGTTACTGACAGCTGCTTTCTCTAAAACTTTGCTATACTGAAAGCAAAATGAGACATCAAGCAAAAGCAGTTTTAACCTAAAATATTTTCTTGTTGTGTTTTGCATCTTATTTTCCATGTGCCTAGTTCACTAAGTACAATTATTCTGCTTTGAAAGTCATATGAAAAATTATAGGGAAGCTACAAACACTCCAATATCAAGTGCAGACTCACGTCCACATGTTGACACTCATGCTGTCTTGTGCTTTTGCCTTTTAATTATGTTATTTTTCTAGCAAGTAACAGATTACCTGATATGGATGTCAATTAGCCATCATTTTACCACTGCAAATCTTACCATCTGTTCAAAATTTCTTAGGATTCAATGTGAATTTTTAATGACTATTCACAGGGCCAGACCTTCAAATGTTCAAGAACTGGTATGATTATACCAGAGTTTAAATTAATGTGGAGCTGTATGGAAGAAAGACGGTCTCATTTAGCTGGAGCTAAGAATTAGATGCAACTAAATAAATAATATGTTTGAGGATAGAGACCTGAATTCTCATTAACTCTGGATGCAATAGTTCAGTATCTTTAATTCTTATGAAGCCATTTTTCTCTTTCTGAAACAACAAAAATCAATTTCTTGCAGAGTGTTTACCATTTGTAAAACATCATGTACTGCACAAAAATGAGTAATCACAACAACCTTGGGTAGGAAAGCTGATGCCATGTGCAGCTGCTTGTTTTGCTCCTTGTCACCCCTGTTCAGGGAAAAGCAATAGGTGTTTTGAGTCATGGATTAATTCCTGTTATGCTCCTAGGATATAGTCATGTTCAAGAAACCCCAGAGTTTAATCAAAGTGCAATTAACTTCAAGAAAAGCAGAGAGATATAAGGTCTGATTCTCAAAAGTACTGATAAGCTCTAAACTTCATTAATTTCAATAATAACTGAAGTGTGCTCAGTCCCTTAAAGATGCCAACTGTTGTGCAACTTGCTCAATACTGTTAAAAAAAAAAGTCCTGCTCTTTGCTGTTGATCAGTCTGATTCCTGCAATATTCTACTGTAACAACAACCAAAAAAAGCAACCAAACAAAAGTTGCTGGTGGTTTTCTTGGCTTTAGCAATTTAACACAATAAAAGTTAAAAGTGAAAGTTAAACTTCACTAAATTATTTTAATAGAGGAAATAAAATATTTCGAAAGGAATTCTTCCTTTTGGGTAAGATTCTGAAAATGCCATCACAAACACCAGAAATTACTAATGCTGATAATCCTGCCGCTGTTCCAGTTGACTAAAAACAGAGGTCTGTGACAGCCTAAGAATGAAAACATTCAGTCAGAAGTTTGTAACTGCTAGTCATGGTTCCAACTCTTAAGTCTATCTTCAGAAAGGAATGATTAAGTCCTGCAGGAGTAAAAGCTGATTCTCCTGATTTCCCAGAGGAGAGAACAGGGCTGGCAGCCCGGCAGTGGGTGGTAGGGAGGAGGATGTGCAGCAGCTACTGCAGGGCATGGGGCACCACCGAAGGACCAGGAGCTCAGAGGGTGCAGTGGGATTTCCAAGGAGAAGGGAGATGGAGTCCTTTTGGGCAGCCCCACCACACCTATATCTCAGGGAAGCTGCTAAGGGCCCTGGGGCAGCCACAGCTGGCAGAAGCATAGACTGCTTGTTCCCTGCCAAGGCAGCTGGGGTCACAGGAGAGACTGTCCTGGCACATGGGACATACTTCATCTGGAAAACACCACCTCCATTCACTTTCTCTTCTCTTCTGCTACCTACTATACAATCAGCTGGTAAGACCAGCTGCAGCATCTTTATTTCCTAGGAATGGGTCCAAGATTTGCTTCTCCCATTTCAGGATCATGCTCCTTTGGTATTTGTTCCTCACTTCTTTTCCCGGTTGCAACAACCTACTTTCATGGGAACATGTTTTCATCCTGTCATACTTCACAGATCTCACAGTCTGATGAGGTTCAAGCTCTCTTGAACACAGTTAAAAGTTAACCACCTCCTCAACTTTATTCCTCTCTATATTTTTTAAAGACAAGAAAGCTCTCTTTTTCTTTTCCTCCCCTAAATCAATGACATGTCTTTTAAAACCTGAGGTTAAAAATTCCAGTATGTAATCTTGTGCAACAGTCAAGGGTGGAGATATAAATATCATAAAGTCCAAATTCATCACTATATCTGGAGCAGATCCACAAATTTAAAAGCCGATGGGACACTCAGAGTAGAGATAAACACAGATGGACAACAACATTGCCAGAGAAAAGGATTAGAGAGGACCCACAAGTGACATGAGGAAATGATCAGATCAAGTGCATTTTACTCCCACAAATGTCCTTGTTTCCCACCTCTTCCAGTAAGATGAGGCAAGAAATTTCTTACCCCCCACTAAGAATTCCTGCAGCAGAGAATCCTTTAAGGGTGCATTCAATAAGTCTTGCCTGGCTTTGTGTTTCTGGCATGTCCCTCTTTAGAAAACTGACTACTCTGTGACCTTCTGGTGCTCCTCCCAGTTGCTGTCACTCAGCTATGGGCAATACCAGAACTTCCCCTCTGAACTGTGTCCTAATTCCTGTGACTACTCTGGTCTGCTATGAGTCCTCTGCTAAAAAAAAAAATTGGCTCATTGGACCATGTGTGCATAAATTTGCTTTTTTGTAATAAATCTTTTCACTGCATACACAGAGATGGCATTCAAAAATTCAGTTTTTCCTCTAATGAAAAGATTTCTGGTGGTGGGTCTACCTGGCCAGCATCATTTGGAAATTATGGGGAAAAAAAAAAAAAAAAAAAAAGGAAGGAGCAGCATGATATTCCTCCTTCTTCTTTTATGCTTATCCCTGAGGTCTTTAACCCTCTGGGTGTTGCAAACTATAAAAGGAAATATTTAAATTCTGAGACAGCTTGTTCCCTACCCAATTTTTCTCTTGCTTGATCTCAATATCTGCATAGCTAGAAAACTACTATCAGTATACCTACTA